GCCTCGGAGCGTCGGTTCTTGGTGCAGAGTCAGAAAAGCACCATCAATCTTAACGCGGCTGATTTAGTCAGTGCAGTGGGTTGCTCAGATTTCGGCGCTGAGAATCAATAAGTCGGACGTCCACTCAGAAACCCAATTACAAAGACGGTAAATACAAAGACAACAGATGGATAAATTTATAACGAAGGGAAGAAAACAGCCAAAAAAGGCTGAGAATATCCAAGATCAGAACGCCTCTCCCTCAACAGGGGATCACAGTTCCTCATCAGCAACGGAACAAGGCTTGATGGAGAACGAGTGTGTTCCAATTACAGAAGCAGGCTTCAAAATGTGGATAATGAGAAACTTCTGTGAATTAAAAGAACTTGTTTTAAACCAATCCAAAGAAACTAAAAACTTTGAAAAAAGATTTGACGAAATGTTAAAAAGAATACACAATTTAGAGAGGAATATAAGTGAATTGATGGAGCTGAAAAACACAATACGAGAACTTCGTGAAGTATGCACAAGTTTTAACAGCCGAATTGATCAAGCAGAAGAAAGGATATCAGAGGTCGAAGACCAACTCAATGAAATAAAACAAGAAGACAAGATTAGAGAAAAAAGGATAAAAAGGAACGAGCAAAGTCTCCAAGAAATATGGGACTATGTGAAAAGACCTAATCTACGCTTGATAGGTGTACCTGAAAGTGAGGAAGAGAATGAATCCAAGCTGGAAAATACGCTTCAGGACATTATTCAGGAAAATTTTCCCAACCTAGTAAGGCAGGATAACATTCAACTCCAGGTAATACAGAGAACACCACAGAGATACTCCTCAAGAAGAGCAACTCCAAGGCACATAATCGTCAGATTCACCAGGGTTGAAATGAAGAAGAAAATACTAAGGCAGCCAGTCAGGTTACCCACAAAGGGAAGCCTATCAGACTTACAGCAGATCTCTCAACAGAAACCCTACAAGCCAGAAGAGAGTGGGGACCAATATTCAACATCCTTAAAGAAAAGAACTTTCAACCCAGAATTTCACATCCAGCCAAATTAAGCTTCACAAGTGAAGGAAAAATAAAGTTTTTTGTGAATAAGCAAGCACTCAGAGATTTCATCACCACCAGGCCTGCTTTACAAGAGCTTCTGAAAGAACCACTACACATAGAAAGGAACAAACAGTATCAGCCTTTCTAAAAAAATACCAAAAAGAGCATCAATATAATGAAGAATTTACATCAACTAATGGGCAAAATAGCCAGCTAATATTAACTGGCAGTATTAAACTCACATATATTATTATTGATTCTAAATTTAAATTGACTAAATCCCCCATCCAAAGACAGACAGGAAATTTGAATAAAAAACTAAAACCCATCAGTATGCTGCATCCAGACCCATCTCACATTCAAGGATACACAAAGATTTAAAACAAGAGATGGAGAAGGATTTACCAACCAAACAGAGAGCTAAAATAAATAAATAAAAAGCAGAAGTTAAAATTAAGCAACAAAGATCAAAAGAAGCAAAGAAGGACATTATATAATGATAAAAGGATCAATGCAACAACAAGAAGAGCTAAAGATCCTAAATATATACGCATCCAATATAGGAATACGTAGATCAGCACCACATCATATCAACTTAGAAGTTTAAACGAAATGTTCGTTGGCTCCTTGTTTGTTATTCTCTTCCCTCATTTTCTTTTATATATCCATTATTAAGGACAATTATAGGCATACCCATATTTAGACTGCATTCTAGCCCGGGCAATAAAGCAATATCCCCATTCTCTCTCCCTCTTCCTCTTTCTCTTTCTTCCTCTTCTTTATTCTTTTTCTTATAAAAAAATAAAAATAATAAAAGAAAAAAAAGAAAAATGCTGAACCTTATTTGCATTTCACTAGAGAAATGCACATCAAAACCACCATGAGATACTATTTCACACCCACTAGGATGGCTGAAGAAAAAAAAAAAAAAAAAAAAAAAAAAACATGTATTATTTTTACCCCAAAAAGGGATTATTTCTTTTAAAATCCAATGGAACTCTACACATTCGAAGTTACGAAAAATTGGCCACGCGTAGTGGCTCATGCCTGCAATCCCAGCACTGTGAAAGGCTGAGGTGGGCAGATCACGAGGTCAAGCGTTCAAGACCAGCCTGGCCAACACAGTGAAACCCTGTCTCTACTAAAAATACAAAAAATTAGCCAGGCATGGTGGTGCATGCCTGTAATCCCAGCTACTCGGAAGGCTGAGGCAGGAGAATCACTTGAACCCAGGAGGCAGAGGTTGCAATAAGCTGAGATCACACCACTGCACTCCAGCCTGGGTGACAGAGCTAGACTCCATCTTGAGGAAAAAAAAAAAAAAAAAAAAAAGGAAAGAAGTTATGGGAACTCCTCAGATACTAGTACTAGAAGAGGAGACTATTTCTCCCCAGTGCTCTCAGGTCTCATCACCAGTTTTTCCCTACACTGGTCCTGTTATGATACAAGAAATCTTTTGCTCAAGGTTAACCCCTATGAATCAAAACTCCCATACACAGGCATAAAATGAGACAGGGGCCACATTTATAGGGTTCATAAGTTACTGCCACCCAGACGTTACCTGAAATGAGTACAGAAGCACTGTAGATTCCGGTGAGAGAATTTAGAGAAAGGGCACGCAGCCCGGGCCTGGCAGGTGCTAAAGGTGAATGTGCTCTTCCTTGGTAAGGCTGGGTCCAGGTGAACAGGAACCAGAGCCGACCACAGCCTTGATGACTGGGAACCGTCCACATCCACAGAACACTGCTTGCCACCACTCGCCGCAACAAGTCTCTCTAGTTCCCTCATTTGCTCTATTTTTGTTAAGTGTCTCTTTTGTCTTTTTCTCATGTCTGAAATGTAAGTGAACGTAGGCACTCTTTATAAGCACTCCCCAAGCTTCCCTGAGGTTTGGCTACATTTTTCCAGCTCGTCCACAGTGAAATGAAAACTAGTCAGAGAATCTTCCCTGATAAGGTTTTGTGGTAGGGCCAGGAGGAGCAGAGCTGGTGTGCTTTTGGGTGGCTTTATCCATAATTGGAAAGGATTGGCCTTCGTGGACGTCTAATCCATTCCCAGGGGAGGCATTTTCCTACTTTCTGGTTCTGTAACAGTCCTAAAAGGAGCAGGAGGTGATGGTATCAGGGGACCTGAGTTAAAATCCTCACTCTAAAAGTGTATGATTGAGTTAATACACGTTTACAAAATAGGTACAAAAAGCCGGACTTTGGTGCTCAAAACTGGAAAAAGCCTGAGACTGCAGGCTTTTTGAAAGCAGAGTTTATGTCTTAATGACATAAATGCAAAAGCGTTTATGTTAGATGTAAGATGGTGGAAGCTGGGAGCCCCCAGTCAGGCCCAGCCACCTCCCGTGCCTGGGATGAAGTCCACCCCATTCTTTCAGCCCATTGTACTGCATTTGCCTCTGCTTTCCATATTCATCACTTACATCTTTGTCACTTTCATCTCAGATACGAGAAACAGACAAAAGAGACACGTGATGAAAACAGACGCAAAGCAGAGACAAATGCAGTGTAATGGGGTGAAAGAATGGGGTGGACTTCATCCCAGGCACAGGAGGTGGCTGGGCCTGACTGGGGCTCCCAGCTCCCACCACGAGATGGGATGCCAAGGTGTCTGCCCCTTGGAGGACCTCAGCATTCAGAAGAGGCAGTTTCCTCTGAGAGGGTCACCCAACTCACGCAGGAGAATTCAGAAAATGATTGTTGAAGGAGGTCATCCTCGAACTACAGGGAAGGTAGGGGTGGGTGGCTTTCCAGGCAAGAACAGCGCAGACTCGGGCAGTGACACTTGTGAATTCATGTGCTCAAATACGTTGTGCATGCAAATCAGCTCTGGACCCTTCACCCCTATGACATCCTGATTTTCTGTCAGCAGAATGGAGACAACTCTTTCCTGGCTGTGTAAAGAGTTGTGAGGATTCAGTAAAGAATATTGAAGAGCTACGCCAACTGGCGACTCCCATTATTATGAAAGAGGGGTGTCGCAGAGATCCTGTTAAGATCCAATTCAGGATAACAGTGCTGTGTGGAGAAAGAATCCAACCCCAGCACTGCCACTAACTCCCCACTCCACCATAGGCCTCAGTTTCCCTCATCTGTCAAATTAGTGGCTTGGAACCAGAAAGGCTAGAAGCCCTTCCTGCACCGACATTTTATTTGTAAGTCCCCTTTAAATCCAGCTGCCAGTTACTAGCACGTGGCTCCCACCCCCAGACTGCTGCTTTTTTCATTCCTAACCTTTACCTTGGCAGATGAAACGTAAGATTCATCAACCACATTTGACAGCCCATGGCAGGTTTCCTGTTTTCCATCGTCCCTCTGCAGGTCACAGACACACAGAACCCAGCCGTGGCAGGCTCAGCCAGGGTCTGGAGCTGCTAACAACGGCTGCATTCCTCCCCCAGGGGCCAAGGGAAGTCCTGAGCGCAGTCCAGGGTTGTTTGGTTTTGAGGTGTGCTGGGATGAAAGGCACCCTGGAAGTGGAAGGTTCGGTCATTCATTAATAAATTATATCTATAATTGAGGGTTTGTTCTTAAGAGCAAGTCCTTTGAAAGTACTTTCCTTCAAACAGTGACTGCCGCAAAGGCATCAGCTATTCAGCACCTTCTCCACTGCCTCAGCACAGCTAGCTTCATTCCAAGATCCGAGATCCTGTTCTGAGCTGGCTCTCCCTCCTCAAGGCTCCTTCACCCTCCCTGCAGAGATGGGGCTTATTGGGGGTGGAAAAAGGTGTGTGTATCTCTGCTGTTTAATGTCTGTTTTTTTTAAAAAAAAAAAAAAAGGAAATCTATACTACACCGAATATGCTTTCTTTTTGGTGGACTTTCGCCTGACCCTTTCCAGATAAACGAACCATGGAAAAACTTCACTGCAAGATTAGAAAGACACCTGAGCCTAATACTCACCTGATATCGTGGGCCACACCTCTGGGTTACCAGGAGAAGGGAGGAAGCAAACTGTCATATTGATGTCGCGCTAAACAACAACAGTGTGCGGAGGCCCAGGGGCACTTCGGGATTGACCAAGAGGAAACTCACGTTGCACAATGATACGATCTTGTTGCTACAATTGTCAGAGAAGGGCACTCCCACAGCAAAGGGCATAAAACCATCCGGAGCAGTCTGGGGCGGCTCAGTTCTGCGGTGCCAGGGAGTGGAGCAGAGCCCAGCCCCATCCCAAACACAGATGGGACCATGAACTCCAGACACAGCTTCAGCCAGACCCCCTCGGCTTCCTTCCATGGCCCCGGAGGGGGCTGGGACCGGCCCAGGAGCTTCCCCCGGGCTCCCAGTGTCCATGGTGGTGCGGGGGGAGCCCGCATCTCCCTGTCCTTCACCACGCGGAGCTGCCCACCCACCGCAGGGTCTTGGGATTCTGGAAGAGGCAGCCCCCTCCTAGGCGGAAATGGGAAGGCCACCATGCAGAACCTCAACGACCGGCTGGCCTCCTACCTGGAGAAGGTGCGCGCCCTGGAGGAGGCCAACATGAAGCTGGAAAGCCGCATCCTGAAGTGGCACCAGCAGAGAGATTCCTGGCAGTAAGAAAGATTATTCCCAGTACGAGGAAAACATCACACACCTGCAGGAGCAGGTAAGACGCTGGGGACCCTAGAGGTCCAGATGGGGTTGCTTTGCCGGGGGACCCTCAGGAGGAAACATGAGTATGGAAGACGACTTTCAGGAAAATTGCAACGGGGACTGAAGTAACTGTGCACAAAGGTTTTGAGAGATGTTTCCTTACTATACCTTAAATTTGGACTTGGAAACATCTGTTTTGTACAATTAATCTTCTATCCATGGATAATATAGAAAAAGAAGGTGCCCAAAATGACAGAAGTGTCACAGACTTTCAAACATGAGGCTCTCTGATTTCTCTTTTTTTTTTTTCTTTGTTTTGAGATGGAGTTTCACTCTTGTTGCCCAGGCTAGAGTGCAATGGCGCTATCTTAGCTCACTGCAACCTCTGCCTCCCAGGTTCAAGTGATTCTCCTGCCTCAGCCTCCCAAGTAGCTTGGATAACAGGCATGTGCCACCACGCCCAGCTAATTTTGTATTTGTAGTAGAGATGTGGTTTCTCCATGTTGGTCAGGCTGGTCTCCAACTCTGGACCTCAGGTGATCCACCTGCCTCAACCTCATAAAATGCTGGGATTACAGGTGTGAGCCACTGCGCCGGCCAACTACCTGATTTTTCACACACCAAAAATACCTTAAAAATGGGAGGCAATCAGCTGCTATTTAGTGTCACTTATGACCCAACGACGTCATAGAAATGATAAGGATGAGTATTCGCGCTGCGTGCTCAGTGCACCAGGCATAAGAGAGTGTTTACTTTCTCATTACCTCAGTCCTGCTCCACCTCAAAGTTTTGTGAACAATGTGGTTATCCATCAACAAAAGGCTGAGTTACACTGTTTTGAAGATTACGCCTAAAAGTTGTCACCACACCAGCATATAGGTCACCATGACATCCCTAGGTATTTCCGTTTATGAGATGCTTGCAGATAACATTGCTCGCAGTTCTGAGAATGGCATATTGCTAGAAACGATAAAACAGGCATAATTTTTAGAATCTGTGAGTTGGGATGGTTATAAAGACCTTCTTCAAAAAAAAAGAAAGAAACTAACTCTTTAACCAAACCTCAGAAAACCTAAGCACATACCTTCTGGGATGTCTCCTAACATTAGCTAGAAGTAGAAGGAATCCAATCATCTCACAGGTTCTTTTTTTAAGCTGTCTAACTCCCCTCTGAGATACAACCATCCCAGAAAACTCTAAGACCATGATTTAACCTCCCATAGAAAGGGCATCACAAGTTTCCAATATTTATACCATATTATTTCACAATACTCAGTCATTCTTGCTTGAATGTAGGAAGGACCAGTCAAGATAATATAAATCTGTCCTAGTAAGAAACCCTAATTATTGAATAATCAACCTAATAACTGACTGTGTAATTACCTTAACTACATAGTGCATGGTTGTCTTGATGAGAAAAAAAAAAAACAAGGTGACTCAATAGTCCTCATCATGTTTTTTTGTTGTTGTTTAATAAACTTGCTTTGGTTGTAGAAAGGAGGGAATTGAGGATTTTTGCAAATGGAGAACAAAGGGAAACCAAGACTTCCAAAAGAAATACAAGGTTAGACCCGGTCAAATAACTTATGAGCTAGCGGAAGAGATTTTAAAAAGACAGGGAGAAAAGGGAGGGAGATGTTTATTGAGCACTTATTATGTACCTAGGCATCATGCTGGATATTTAATACACATGTCAACAGCATCCAAGAGCTTTCTGCAATGATGGAAATAGTCTATATTATTTTATTTGATTCTGCAACAACCTGTAAGGAAATGGAAGGTCAGGAAAAAAAGCGAACTAGCCATCCAAAGCCATCAGCCAGAAGCAGAGGTGGGATTTGTTTCCAGTAGCCTCATAAATTTCACTACAGTGTGGTGCTGCTTAGCCTACCTCATACAAAAATAACACTTATTATGAATAAAGATAATGCATTACACTTGAATCATTAATCATGCAACACATATTTCATACACATTATCTCATTTAATTCTCACAACTGTGTGGAGCAGGTATTTTTATTCTCAATGTATAGATACGGAGACTGAGACCTAGTCGTTGTCTAAATCCTTTGGAACAGAATTGAGAAAAGTGAGCAGGTGCAATGGGGGGTGTTGGAACCAGCCTTCCCACCCTTCAGATGACCTGGAATTCTGGGTTCTGAGATTAAATAGGAAACTTCTGTGGCTTTGAATTCCACTCTTTTCTGGATTTTTACCTCTAACGCGTTTTTTCTACATTTGAAGAAAGCAACTCTTTAACGCTGAGGTTGTCTATCCACACCTCATTTGAAGATGAGAAAACAGAGGTGCAAAGAGGTCCCACAATCACCTGGGGCTTATCCTTCCTGGATCTTGGCAAAATGCTCTAAGTGGACACAGCTCTCCTGCACCCTCACTCTAGGTATATTAAATGTCACTCAGAAAGTTGACAAGAAGTTGAGTTTAAAAATTAATTCAATCCCTTTGAAATCCAGAATTGGACATAGTCATAGGAGTATCATAAATGAAACACCTTGAGTGATTCTCAATAGGACTATATTCGGCATTTTGTTTTACATTCTATTTTTCTCTCCCTGGGAGGAGATCAAACATCCTGAAGCAAAAATGCTGCACAAATACAGCAACTTGCTTCTCAAACAATGAACTCAGGGCCTTCAAGAGAATCTGGGTGATTCATTACAACACTCAGTGAAAAAACTATGCCTCATGTATCATTTCTCAACCCATCTTCATCCACTTATTACCATGAAGGTTGTCTCAGAAATGATGGTTGTATCATAATACTGTACTAAGTAAGTCTGCATAATGGGAAATGGTTCTAAATGTGCTCTGTATCAAGTACACTTCTGAATTCACATTTGTGTGCTACGAGAATGATAGCTAGGGGAATCAGACCCTTGAGGTGGACTTTGCAATGGATACATTACCAGTTTAACGCAGAATAGCTAAATAAGCCCATAGACAGTATTTTTGATTTTCTGATTCTCTGTCTCTATGTAGATTAACACCTCATACTATGTGTCAAATAGAAAAACTCAGTGCCCAAGTAAGTAAGGCCTACCCCAGTGGTCCCCAGCCTCTTTGGGATAGGGCTACTTTTCACTTTCCATGAACTTAGAAAATAAAAAGAATAAGGAGTCCGGAGGAAAAGGTATTGGTAAAATGCCCCTAAGCAGCACTGTGCAGAAAGGCAAGGAAATACCTGAAAATACCCTTTTTTACAGCAAGGGAAGAGACCATAGTACCATTTGGAATCCCACAAGGGGAAAAAAGAATGAAGCAGGAGCGGCCAGCCTGGTTATGTCCCCACCACGCAAACAGCAAAAGTCCGAGGAGGCATCTCAGCATATAGAGCCTGGGGATGCTTGCAGTGCAGTCACTGACTCTACAAAAGCGCTAGAGCTTTAAAAAGAAACGTATATTATTTACATTTTTCTGAACTAATTCAGTTTCAACCAATTTTTCACTGTCTATAACATGCCGAGAATATGCTGTTTGCCATTATTTGACATAATCTCTTCTAATTCTCATAACTCTTTGATGAAGTAACTATTATTATTGCTATTTTATGGATGAAGAAACTGACACTCAGCCAAGCTCACCCAGCCATTAAGTGTGGAGCAGGATCCCAGGCCCTGCTCTCTGCGTTCCAGACCCAGCATTCATGCCATCTCTAAATCCTGCTATTGTGCATTCATGATGCCAAATTCCATGTGATCAGTGGAGCTTTAAATAGGACCAGATTCTTAAAAAGTTGCCTTTGTATTGAAGTATAGCTTTGTCCTAAGAAAATACTTTCTAAATAAAGGAATGAACTATACAAATATAATGGGAATGACCGAGGAGTCTCTGACTCCATCTAAATTACAGAAATGTAGGCCTAAGACCTCAAAGGTCCTCGGTCTCTAGTATAGACTCCTTATTTGACAAAGGATGAAACTGAGGCCTGGAGAGTAGAGCGATGCATCCACGGGGATGGTCAAGAACAGAGCCAGAACCAAAGAAAAGCTGCAAGTCTCGGCCAGGCGCAGTGGCTCATGCCTGTAATCCCAGCACTTTGGGAGGCCCAGGAGGGTGGATCAAAAGGTCAGGGTGATAGAGACCATCCTGGCTAACACTGTGAGACTCCGTCTTTACTAAAAATACAAAAGAACTAGCCAGGCGTGGTGCCGTGTGCCTGTAATCCTAGCTACTTGAGAGGCTGAGGCAGAGAATCACTTGAACCCAGGAAGCACAGGATGCAGTGAGCCGAGATCGCACCACTGCACTCCACCCTCAATGACACAGCATGACTCTAACCTAAAAAAAGAAAGAAAAAAAAAAAAAGAAAGGAAAGAAAAAGGAAAGCTTCAGGTTTCTAGTGCAGCATAACACTTGGTATAAAAGCATTATGACGCTTTTGACAATGAGACATCACCTACCCTAAAGACAGTGACATACATCAAATGTGCACTATTTTTCTGACTATAACATACCTACAAGGATTTACAAATCATAAATGTATACACAATTGCTCAAGTAAGTGCTTTCAATAATATTTTTCCCTTTAAAGTAAAAAATATATTTACAAACATCTAGTGGAATTCTTTCACTGGGAGCTATACCATGACTAAGGCTTATTAGGCATTTTCATTAGATGGTAAAGAATTACATCGGTTAATATTTTAATAGCTATAATGAGAGCATTTTCATCACAGAATAAGTTGCAATCACATAAACATACCTACAAGTTATATGCATGGCTACGGTCACTTTGGGCAAAAAAAAAATTGCGTTCTATGATGACTATTACAAAATACATTTAATATTAGTGTGTTACCTTTGCTCAGTAACACTGATTAGAAACATGAATGCTATCACAAGTAAGAATTATGTCCACCTAAAATAATAATTTTTGTACTTTTGGAGGGTTGAACTAACTAAAAGTCATGGCAAAAATGACTTTTTCGCCAACCTAATAAGAAAAGGATCAAAACCTGAAGTCCTTTTAACATCTTTACATATGGATGAGCTTAATTAAGCAAAATGCTATGACATTTCCGTAACATAAGCTAGAAGGCGTTTTGAACAATTACTATCCTTCCCCTCCCTATATCATTCTTTCAGCAGTTGCATCAATTTAAGCCTGCCAAAACTCAATGTAAAAAGAAAAAAGGCAGTAACACTGACTGCAGATCATATTTTTACTATAAAATCATTCTGCTTTGCACCTAGTATGTGCTCACTAAACATTTACTGATTCGGTTATTCATTGACCCCCTGCCAGAACACGAAGTTGTCTGTACTAACAAGTCAAATATTCAGGAAACTAGACGACAGACATGCAGAGGTCATGCTGGGTGTGTCCACGCGAGACAACTTCTGGTGCATGTTTTACAGATCGTGGATGGTAAGATGACCAACGCTCAGATTATTCTTCTCATTGACAATGCCAGGATGGCAGTGGATGACTTCAACCTCAAGTAAGTTCCTTCTTCACAATGTTGTTCAGGTTCTTTCTCATTTGCTTTACGAAAGGAAAACTCATCTTGCCATGACCCATGTCTAAAATCTTGTAATGAAAAGGCATAGCAATGGCAAATGCAATGTGTGTTACTTGAACGAACCTTAGTGTAAACAAACCAGATATAAAGCACATGTTATAGTGTGGGGAAATTTGAATATGAATCAAGAAGTAGACGATATTAAAGTGTTATTATGAAAGTTTAGGTGTAGTATTATAATTTTTAAAGTATCTTTTTCTTAAAAGATGCATCCTGAAGTATTTAGTCTTAAAATGTCATCATGTCTATAATCTGCTTTAAAATACTTCAGCAATGAAATAGGTAAAACAGATATGGCAAAACATTCGGGGTTGCTAAACATAGGTGATGGGTATGTGACTGTTTATTATCCTATACTCCCTACTCAATTGAAAAATTGACATTGAGTCACCGTCATGGAAAAATGTAGCATGAAACTGACATACAAAAGACATCATGTATGTATCCATTTGTTCTCATTAAACCCAAAAAGTAGAAGATTCGCCTCTAAATGAAAATGAATCCTTTCCAAAACCATGGCCTTCCAACAACAGGTGCACTCTTCTCTTCCTTCTCATGAAAGGTATGAAAACGAACACTCCTTTAAGAAAGACTTGGAAATTGAAGTCGAGGGCCTCCGAAGGACCTTGGACAACCTGACCATTGTCACAACAGATCTAGAACAGGAGGTGGAGGGAATGAGGAAAGAGCTCATTCTCATGAAGAAGCGCCATGAACAGGTAGGACTCCCCCGGAACTCCTGGCAACGAGCACAGCTCAGCCTGCACACCTCAGGCTGATTCGACAGCTATAGTGGAAACCACTACCTGGATGCCAATCCCCTTGTCCTTCACCCTAAATCGTCATTAGAAAAACATATGAATATCTAATGTTTCTAATTTAGCTACTCACATGTCAAATACAGCAACCAAAATGCAATCATAATTAAAGATGAATTGGTCAACAGTTTTGTTAACATACAATGTTTACCTAGATGTGCTTATTAGTATGTTACTATAAGAATCAATCAGTGAGACTGGACTTCCGTCATTGGCCCAATGTTCACCAAATTAGGGAACACTATAGTGAAAAGAGTCTGCTACCAACCAGGATAAATGTGATGTGGGGCAAAAATAAAGAATCCCAATTTCCAGAAGCATTTAACTGACTTTTAAAGAGTTACCATCCATCTCACATCCTCAAGACTCCGCTAAAATGATAGAAAAACAATTCCCATTTTAGGAAAACAAAATTGCTTCTGAACATCAAAGAGCCCAGTTTCTGAATAGCTGGTTAGACAATGACTGTTAATTAAACCTTTCTTACGGCCGCGTGGTTTTCATAAAATCCTATGGGCATCAGCCCTACAGAATCACAAGGCAGTGACGAGATTTTGAAAGCCTCTACATCCTCTCTCTGCCTTCTGCTTCGTGAACTGCTTACAAAAGCTTTGGCCTATAACCTGGAAGGTTCAGCTGCTTAACTATGTTGTCACTTCACCAATCCACATCTGCTGAACAGGACTTTGCACACTATGGAAGCATAATTCTTTCAGAAATATTTTCAAGCAGGGATCAAGTCAGTAATCATGGAGGCCATTTGAGTACCTGTCTTGTGTTTTTTTTTTTTTTTTTTTTTTTTTTTTTGAGACAGGCACTCTCACTCTGGATCCAGGCTGGAGTGCAGTGGCATGATCTCGGCTCACTGCAACCTCCATCTCCCGGGTTTAAGCGATTCTCTTGCCTCAGCCTCCTAAGTAGCTGGGATTACAGGCATGTGCCATCACACCTGCCTAATTTTTTTGTATTTTTAGTAGAGGTGGGGTTTCACCATGCTGGTCAGGCTGGTCTTGAAGATATTCTTTATTTTATAAAATTATTAGAGATAAAAGTATACACTGTTTTATCATCATCAAGCAATATTTGAGAAACCAAACCAAATCAGTGGCAGTGGAGCAGCCACATAACCGGAATGTTTATGTGATCCATTTACCCCTGCCAATCAACATGGCGATCCAGCCTTCTGATTGTCAAAGCCGGTCCATTTCCTTTCTCTGTTATTAAACAGGAAATGGAGAAGCATCATGTGCCAAGTGACTTGAAGGTCAACGTGAAGGTGGATACAGGTCCCAGGGAAGATCTGATTAAGGTCCTGGAGGATATGAGACAAGAATACGAGCTGATAATAAAGAAGAAGCATCAAGACTTGGACACTTGGTATAAAGAACAGGTAAAAGAAAGGTGCACTAACTTCTCAAAGGTTGCATTTCCATGAAGTCCCAATGCTGATGCCTTCACCTTGCTTGGTCCCTCAGTCTGCAGCCATGTCCCAGGAGGCAGCCAGTCCAGCCGCTGTGCAGAGCAGACAAGGTGACATCCACGAGCTGAAGCGCACATTCCAAGCCCTGGAGATTGACCTGCAGGCACAGTACAGCACGGTGAGTAGAGGCTAGGAACACCCTGGGTCCCACACCACCTCCTCCATGAAGCCTTCCGAGATCTCTCTCCCAGGCCCCGACCCTCAACTCCTTTGGGACACCTATCACTTTCCACTTTCCACCCAAATTGTTTATGTTGAGAACCATAATAAAGGGCTACCATGTATTGAGTGTCCAGATGCTGCCAAGTAATGTGCTAGGTAGTTCATGATATTAAATGTCATTCATCCTTACAGTAACCTTTCCAGATAGTTCTTAGTGTCCCCACTTTAGAGATGAGGAAACCAAAACTCCAACAGTAAAACAGTAAAATAAATTGGCCAAGGACACACAGCTAGTCAATAACTGGTGGAGAAACCATGGGATTTATTTGGAGGCGGGGGGTTCTAGACCTCCATGATTTCTATCAGTGCCATCTCCACTTACAAGCCAGGCTACCCGCCTCAAATCCCAAAATAGAGAAATTCTAGTGCCAACATGGTAGGTGGTAAATCCAGGCCTGGCTAACTCCAAAGCACTTCCCTATTCATTTATGTATATGTCTTGTCACCCAGCAAACTCTAAATTCTTGTGTCCACGTCATTTCTATCATCTTCACAGTTTAGAAAAATGCTTGGCATGTGTCATAAGCATTCAGATTTCATTAAGGTGTATCATTTGATTCCCAGTATAGCCTACTGAGTGTTCTAATCATTCATCCACATAATTGCCAAGTGCTAGACTACCCTCTGTCTTGAGAGGAAATGATTTGTTCATTTCTGTTGCAGGTGCACTTGGGCAAATGGCTGTTATGTTTTATGCATCCGTGATACAAACGTTGTGAACAGACACTGAAAATGTGCACTGTAGAGATCATGAGTACAAAAATAATTATAGTGTCTTACAGCTGCCAAAACATTTTAACATACAGTATTTCACAACGGTCCTGTGAGGCAGGCAAGGCGTGTATACCCATTATCATGCATCCTAGTGTCTGGCCCCAATCCTTGGCACTGAGGATTTTTTAATGAAGGCGTTTATATTCTAGTAGGAGACAGACAATGATTGTGAAAATCATCAAAATGTCGATGTTAGATGGAGCAAATTGCTACAGAAATGAAGCAGGGGAGGTCAGATGCACCAGGGTGAAGAGCTGCCATCTTAAACGAGGTGGTCAGGAAAGTTTTCCTAGTAGAGCGGCAGTGAGCGAAGAGGTAAGGAGGTGCTTGATGTGGTGGTGGCTGTGTTCCAGGAGAAGGGAACCGCAATGCAGAAGCAACAAGGGTCAAGTGTGTCTGCTGAGTTGTAGGAGCAGCAGAGAAGTCCGTGTGGAAGTGAGTGAACAAAGGGAAAAAGAACAGACAGAAGAGGAGGGGAAGAGGGGGGAAAAGGAGGAAGAGAGGGTGAGGCTGTGGGGTCACACCAGAGCCAGACTGTGTAGGGCTTTGCAGGCTACTTTGGAAGGGGCTCAAGAGGAACAGCAGGTATAGACAACTCTTTGAGGAGCTTTGCTGTAGCTGAAGGAGAGCAGCAGAGAAATGGGATGATAGGTGAAGGTAGGTATGGGTTTAAGAGAGAGAAATTTTAAGGTAGGAGAAATTATTCTATTTGAAAGCTGAAAGCTGGTGGGAATAATCCAGTAGAGAGGAGAACATTGATGAGGCAAGAAGGCCAGCAACTGCCAAGATGACTGGGGCACAGCTCACTCATAATAACACAGGCAAGCCAGCACCTGGTCGTAGATTCCAGCACCTGCGTGGGAGCCATGGTGGGAGCAGTGGGCGGTCTCTCCCGATTGCTTTCATTTCATCAATAAAATTAGGAAGTGAGGCCACGGACCAGGCGTCCCCAAACTTTTTACAGAGGGGGCCAGTTCACTGTCGCTTAGACCGTTGGAGGGCCGCCACATACTGTGCTCCTCTCCCTGACCACCAATGAAAGAGGTGCCCCTTCCTGAAGTGCGGCGGGGGGCCGGATAAATGGCCTCAGGGGGCCCGCATTCGGCCCACAGGCTCGTAGTTTGGGGACGCCTGCCATGGACTCAGAGGAAGGATGGGAAGGTCACGGGAGAGGGAACAAAATAGTCCCCTGGGAGAGTAGAAGAATGACTGACCATTTCACCACCAGGCAGCATGAACAGCCCCTGAAAATTAGTAGCCACAATAAAGTGGAAGTATCCAGCACAGTTATGCGATTCTCTTTAAGGTTAAAATTATGCACATCAGAAAAGCATGTGTTACATGCAAACAGAACAGGGACTTGAACCCAGTCCTCCGTCTCCTAGCCCAGAAACTTCATTTAGCAGCTATTAGAATTTCCTCAAAAAAAAAACGACCATTTTTTTTTACCGTCGTCATAATCAAAAAGCATTGTTTGAGACTAGGGTTGCCAGATTTACCAAATTAAAATATAGGACACTCAGTTTAGTTGGAATTGCATATAAAAAACAATTTTTTTAAGTATACACATGTCCCATGCAATACTGGAGCAATATTTTGGACACAGTTACACTAAAAAATTACTCATTGCTCATTTGAAATTCAAATTTAACTAGACGTTCTCTATTTTATTTGGCAACCCTAATAGAGACCCTTCTCCGAAGATACAAAGAGATAACAGTCCTAGTTGCTGTCTCTGAGAGTGTACCATTGGATCAAAAATATAATGTAAGGTATTAAAGAACAGTTCAGAGCAAGGCAATGGACTTCAAAAGTCCCAGGCCAAGCACTGTGGCTGATGCCTGTAATCCCAGCACTTTGGGAGGCCAAGGCAGACAGATCATGAGGTCAAGAGATCAAGGCCATCCTGGCCAACATGAGGAAACCCCGTCTCCCCTAAAAATACAAAAATTAGCTGGGCATAGTGGTGCACACCTATAGTCCCAGCTACTTAGGAGGCTGAAGCAGGAGAATCGCTCGAACCTGGGAGGCGGAGGTTGCAGTGAGCCAAGATCATGCCACTACACTCCAGCCTGGGCAGCAGAGCGAGACTCTGTCTCAAAAACAAACAAACAAACAAACAAAAAAGTCCCAACACTGCTCAACTCCCAAGTCCCAAACCTGTAAGTCAGCCTACTTCTCATCTTGACGTCTTGAGCAGCTACAAAGGCACCTAACCAACTGGTCGACATCTGCTAAGTACTCAACCAGAACCTGTCATTGACCCAATCAAGCCGTCAGTCAATTCACAAAAGATCATTTCCTGTTTCAGAAATCTGCTTTGGAAAACATGTTATCTGAGACCCAGTCTCGGTACTCCTGCAAGCTCCAGGACATGCAAGACATCATCTCCCACTACGAGGAGGAACTGATGCAGCTACGCCACGACCTGGAGCGACAGAACAACGAGTACCAAGTGCTGCTGGGCATCAAAACCCACCTGGAGAAGGAAATCACCACATACCGACAGCTCCTGGAGGGAGACAGCGAAGGGTAAGAAGGCGAAGGCTGGCATGAGAGGAGCATGCGACAAGCATCCAGCTCCTGTGGGCGTATGTGTGCATCTCTGGGTTTAGTCACTCTAGCAAAAGAAAAGTTGTGTTGAGTTTCTCCAGAAGATACCTATAGCCAGTTGTATTTCACTAAGCAGCAAGTGTAATTAATCAACTAATACTCACAGGACACTAAGATTTGCAATCAGAAAAGCTAAGGTCCCTAGCAGGAAACAATTAGAAAGATTTTGGCCATGGTGTTTCCCAGTGGGAATGCACACAATTTTGGCTCAAAAAAAAAGCCAGGGGAATGTGTTAGTCCACCAGCCAAAAAAAAAACCAAAAAACTATGCATACAAGATTGAGATGTCTGGACTTTCAATCTGATATTTCTGGCCACCCCAGGAAATAACAGCAGGTGACATATATATTCTATGACTCAAAAGGAAGTAATAGAAGTTTTATTAAAAAAAAATACACAAATAAAACATCACCAGACCAAAGTTTGAACAGTCTGAGAAGCTCAGGGTTCTCAGACTTAAGACTCAGACCCTAGCAGGGATCCTGGAGGAAACCAAGCTTGCAGCTGGCTGAAAGGAATGGATGGTTGGTGGACATTCCCTAACTCCAGGGATAGTAGAAGGCAGTACCAATGCCTTCTGCATCCAGATGGGTTCCAGCATGAACTCATGACCTTGAGACTACTAAGCTCAGACAATTATCCTCATTAAAGAGCTGAGGATTTACAAGCAACCGAAGGAAGTTAGTTCATTCTGAGAAGTTTTTATGATTGTTGCTAGTACTAAAGCGAGTTTTAACCTTTATCACTTTTATAGGACAATGGAAGAATCAAAGTCGAGCATGAAAGGTAAAAAAAAAAAATTCCTTCATTGTTTGAATCTCTATTTTTAAGGAATTAGCATGGTTATCCATTCTGTAGTAGTCATAATCCTTAGTGTACTCCCAAATGTCCTGGGTTCAAAATTTGTTTCTCTCCCCAACGGTCAGGAATTTTCAATTAACAAATTAAGTAATACAAAATGAATGAGAGCTCCCTTCATTTCGTATTACTTAATTTGTTAACTGAAAATTTTCCTCCCTATATATAAAATTTCCTCAATTTATATATATTTTCCTCAATATCTATAAAGGCAAGGAGTAAAGAAGATTAAAATGATAATTCATAGTATTATGTCTCTATTAAGTAATGGTGTCTGCTTACTAAACTCCTAGAAAATTGAGAGGCAGTGATTTCATGTCGTTTCTCAAATTATTCCATTGAACACTCGTGTTCCATGAGATTTGAAGAGTGTATTACGGATGGTATGTCTATGACCAGATAAGGTTAGAAATACTGTGTGTCATTATCCTCTTCTGGAACAGTCCTGTTGCATTTCAGTATGTTAAAGATGGAACAGGTACTGCTTTGAAGGAGAAAAGGAACAAGAAAGAGGAAGAAACGACAGAAGTTTAACTTTGTTTAGCACAGTATTCCCAAACTATCTTTGACCTGGAAACATACTTTCTCAGATTACCTTTAATTTCTCATAGAAAAGTTCCAAGAGACCAGAGTCTGGGACAAGTGGCACTTCTGATTAGCTTATGATAAATCTATACTAAGGCATTGGAGGTTCAAAGTTGAAGTAATCATCACAGAACAGCTGGTCTAACTTCTACCCCTCTACAAAATAAGACAAGGGTCTTTGAGCCTCTCTTCACACATATCCTACGATGAGAAACCCATACTTGATGGGATAGACCCACTGGAGAGGTTTTATTTTAACAAAATTCTCCCTTGTAATTTTATTAATGATTTCAGTTCTTCCCTGCGGAATATAATTGGTTTACTGATGTTTCAACAGGCACTTACTCAAGTAAGTTATATATTTGAAAACAGCCATGGTAAGCATCCCTGGCTTCTCACCCAGCCTTCATGTGGCATGCTTTCTAGACCTTAAAATGAGGATACCTCGAATAGCCCTGAGTGCTCTGTAAGCTCAAGGAATCTGTGCAGCACTACAAAGCCCACATGCAGAGAAAGAATTCCCCAAGTGCTTGTGGTCAGAGACAACGAGGTTCCACAGAGACTAGGTTTCACACTTACGATGAAGGTCTTCACCTCCAGAAGGTGACACTGTTCAGAGATCCTCATCTCCTGGAGAGTGGGAGAAAATCCCTCCTTGAGGAAATCCCTTTTCCCTGCAGCAGAGCCCGCCACATTGCTTAGTGATCATTTTGGAAGGTGCCAAGAGCCTTCAGGGGCTGACAGCAGGGAACTGAAAATGAGTACAGTTCAGATGGTGGAGGAAGCATGGCAGTGACGTCTTCTGTACTCTTTTTCTCAGCGTCCGCAACTCCAAAGATCAAGGCCATAACACAGGAGACCGTCAATGGAAGATTAGTTCTTTGTCAAGTGAATGAGATCCAAAAGCAAGCATGAGACCAATAAACATTTCTGCCTGTTGTAAAATCTATTTTCCCCCAAGGAAAGTCCTCGCCCAGACACTAATGAGTGACTTCTAAGAGACATCCTTGGAGTTATCAGACTCAGAAACTTTTAATTTTTTCTTCTGTAACAATCTCACCAGATTTCTTATAATGCTCTTAATATATTGCACTTTTCGACTCAGTGTGAGTTTATGAGTTAAAGCTCTCCTTTCCTACTGTAGCCTTCAGATTCTCATCATTGTGCATCTGTTTTGTAGCCAATAAAACTCCACACTAGCCGCATCGTGTCTTTTTTCAATATCTTGAGGCAAGACAGCACCTCGAGGTCTCATCCTAACAAGAGGTTCTCAGAACATTGTCCATGGAAGATCCAGAGAAATCTCGACATCAGGCACGTTCACAGCAGCCAGGCACTGGGCAGAATTGTCACCCTGTAGCCAGGCAACATGGGCATGAGGCTCTCCACAATCCATACTTCTGCCAGCAGGAAGAGGGGGAGGAAACAGACAAAGGGAGGCCCAGAAAGCCTCACTGGGAGTGTGAGAGGACCAAAAAGTAGGCTATCTCACTTTTAAGAAGGAAAAATGCTGAAGGGCCAAAAAGAGCAACTCTCTTTTAGGTTATTTGAAGCTAGAAAGGAAATTAAGGGGGAAAAAATGTCATTACAGGCAGATACTAAGGCTCTAAAAGGGGAAGTAATTCATCTAAGATCCAAATTGCAAATATTAGTATCCTGATCATCATGCTGTATTAGTCTGTTCTCATGCTGCTATAAAGACATACCCAAGACTGGGTAAGTTATAAAAGAAAGATATTTAATTGACTCACATGTGGACATGGCTGGGGAGGCCTCATAATCATGATGGAAGGCAGAGGGGAAGCAAAACGTATTACGTGGCAGCAAACAAGAGTGCTTGTGCAGGGGAACTCCCCTTTATAAAACCATCAGATCTCAGCTGGGAATGGCGACTCACACCTGTAATCCCAGCGCTTTGGGAATCCGAGGCGGGCCGATCACCTGTAGTCAGGAGTTCAAGATCAGCCCGGCCAACATGGTGAAACCCCGTCTCTACTGAAAATACAAAAATTACCTGGGTGTGGTGGCGGGCACCTGTAATGCCAGCTACTCAGGAGGCTGAGACCGGAGAATTGCTTGAACCCAGAAGGCAGAGATTGCAGTGAGCCAAGATCGCGCCACTGAACTCCAGCATGGGTGACGAGAGTGAGACTCCGTCTCAAAAAAAAAAAAAAAAAAAAAAAAATTCAGATCTCATAACTATCAGGAGAACAGCATGAGAAAGACCTGCCCTCATGATTCAATCACCTCCCATGGAGTCCCTCCCACAACACACAGGAATTATGGGAGCTGCAATTCAAGATGAGAGTTGGGTGGGGACACGGTCAAACCGCATCACAGGCTGAACTGTAGCAGGCGGGTAAACCATAAGACTACGTACCTCTGTCCTCTGAAGAAGATGCCATTTTCTCATTCTAGGAGTGTGGGCTACTGTTCTGAGGCCAGTGCAGAGGAGCACTGCTGGAAAAAAGGAAGGGGGAAATCCACATACCCATTAAGACATCATCAGAAAATGGAATTCGAGGATATTAACAATTTAAGAGACTACAGACACAGAATAGCCCAAATATCCCATTTTACAGACAAATCAATGGAGGCCCAGAGCAATACATTTTTGTTTGTGTTTTGTTTGTATTTGAACAAAATGTATTTGCTTGGAAACTCGCCTGGCAATAAATTCTACTGTTTTCATTCCAGAAATGCTTTGACTCAATAGCAAGTATCATTCTATAACCCAAAATCCAACCAAACAATAGGCAGCTAATCCGGAGAAGAATAACATATTACTTTGGAATTTAGTATTTATGTTAATATATTTGCCTACAGTGTCATAAAATGGTGGAGTGGATAGGTAGATCCCTCTACTATTGTTTAATCCAATAAAATGCACGCCTTTATAGACTCGTTTCTTCACCATTATTTTTACACACTTACCCTGCTGATGATGTACAAATTGGGAACTAAATATAAAAATTCATTATACAGGAATGTAGCAACCGCATGTTGAGGGAAGGGGTCATACAGCCAAACAGGGAGTAAGGACTCGAATTCTGGCAGCAAAAGGTGGGGAAGAGAAAGAGATCCCAGGAAGTTTCTTTAGCGTGGGGTTCTCAAACTCAGCTCACAACAGCATCACCTGGAGAGGTGAGAGACGTCGGTATCTTTGACATGTGAAAACATCAGAATTGAAGAAAGCATACTGTATTTTTTAATTCATAGCAAATTAAAAATAACAATTATAAATGGATGAACTATTGAAAAGCCAAAATAACTTATGCACTCTCTAAGCTGGAACCAATATATAAAAATGTCAATAATTACAAGAAAAAAGTAAGCCAGAAGTAGGTACAAAAGATCGGATTTTTCTTTACAGATAGACATAAGTGGATCATTTAACACAGACTACATTTAGCTTAGAGACTTCCTTTTTTTTTTTTTTTTTTTAAACAGGGCCTTACTCTGTCACTCAGGCTAGAAGCCAGGGGCGTGATCTCAGCTCACTGCAGCCCCAACCTTCCAGGCTCAAGTCATCTTCCCACCTCAGCCTCCCAAGTAGCTGCGACCACAAGCACACACCACCATGCCTGGCTAATTTTTGTATTTTTGGCACAGCCAGGGTTTTGCCATGTTGCCCAGGCTGGTCTTGAACTCCTGGGCTCAAGCGATCCACCCACCTTGGCCTCCCAAAGTGCTGGGATTACAGAAGTTAGCCATCACACTTGGCCTAGCTTAGAGATTTTTAAAAGTTTACTTTGTGTGAAATAATAGAGCATGCCATTTATTTGGGATAAAATAACTTATTTCTAACCATAGCTTTCATGGACGTGAAGCAACTTGTACCATAGTTTCACATATACCTATTTGGTCTTTCACAACAGAAAACTAATAGTAAATAATGCCACTTTTTTTTCTAGCCACCAGACGACCAAGGATAAATAATATCATTTTTATAATGGTAAATTTAAAAATTTATCAATGGATATTTAAATGTATCATTTAAATAACGGTGTTATTTTCTGGGTATGCTGTAGATATCAGTGGCCCCAGTGGATCCTCCAGCACTCACGCCTTTCTGTATGGCCTCCCACATGGATGCTGGGTTTGGTCATGAGACTTGATTGGGCCCATGGAACATCAGCAAGCTTGCCACAAGCAGAGGCTTACTAAATGCTTGCACATTAGGAGTTATCCTCTTGGAATGGCCTATAGGAAGCCAGCTACCATGTGAGAAGCTAGATTACCCTGAGACATCATACCGTGACGAAGTCCAAGCTAGCCTCTTGGAGAGCTCACACCAAGCAAAGCTGAGGAATCCAGGCAACCGCCATAACTGAGGCTTTAGGCATATGACTGAGTCAAGCCCTTCCAGCCAGTTCCCAGCCATTCAAGACAGTGCAGCTGCTCCCAGACATCACAGACAGGAACAGGCCATCCTCACTATTCTGAATCCAAAATTCTGGCCCACAAAAATAATTGTGAACAAATAAAATGGCGGTTGTTTTAAGCCAGCAAGTTTTGGGATTGTTTTTCATGCAGCAATAGGCAAGTCAAATAGAGTATTTTAAACGGAAGACTCTGTTACTTGTTCAGTGACAATAATTGATTTAAGGCAAACGAGTTGATTAACATGCCACCAAACTTTTGACCAGAATATTAGTCATTTTAACACTCACATGGACCTCCAAGAAAGTCCTGGTCTAATAAGAGTAGATGAAGCACCAAACTCTCAAGAGAAAAGCCAGGGTCTACCCTCTTCAAAGACAGTAGAGAGTAAAGCCATTGCCCATGAAAGATATTCACAGCTCTCCTCTCTGCTCCTTCCCAAGTGGGACCAGCAGGGTAGCTCCAACCTGGAGAGGGGGCTTCCCCTGCTCCTCACTCTAACATGCTAGGATGCCCAAGTAAATTCTTTTTCTTATCTTCAAGTTTCAATTCCTTTTGACTCTCTGTTTTAGTTCCTCATTCCAGGGACATGAACAATTTCTCTACAAATAGTTATGCCCACAGATCAACAGTTTCACTAAAGGTGATCTGTTTTCAACATAGGTAAGCAATGTTCTCCTTCACTAAGAAACTATAAGTCATTTACAAATGAAGGTGATCATAATTATTTCGTAGCTCCTAGTCATAATACTTAAAAGTCATTAAGAGTATAATTCATTTATTCTAGCCATGATTCTTCACAATACAATACTTCACAATACTCTGAATGCTATGCTTTTATACAGCCTTTAATCAGTAAGTACTTTTAAGATTTTGGTGTTTACCTATCACCTGAAGTATTTTGTTGGTTATTTCCGTATGGTAACAACATTGGTTTTCCAAATTACTGCATGCCTACGTTCATTCCAGTGTGTGTGATTCATTTCCATCTCATCTATTCTATTACAACATCTACGTGTCACATCTCTCTGAAGAGGATTAGAGTTTCTAAAATATACTTGAGGTGAGATCATGTAAAAAGGAAAAGACAGTGTTTCTGACATACTCAACGATGGCCTGGTGATACTCAGAAGTTTTACCTTAAAATTTGTGTGTGTGTGTGTGTGTGTGTGTGCGCGCATAACTATTTCAGTACATGGATTGTCCTACTCACCCAAACTTCTCTTTGAAATTTAAATGAGAATTTCTCTAATAAAATTATGAGTCATCTCATAAAAACTACAAGTCAGTTTGTGCTAATTCCATGGTGTGCCTACACAACATAGCATGTATGCCTATGACGTACGTACACATATGCCAGGGGTGTTTTAAATAACAACTATCCATGACTGAGCTTTACATTCAGGATCTCATTTAACATTTGTCACAGCCCTGTGGCATATTACCTATATTTTATGTTTGGGGAAACCGAGGCTCAAATGGACTGCATTAACTTGCCTGTGGTCATATAGCTATAAAACGGTGGAATCAGAACTTGTACTCGGTGTATTTGGTGTTTGTGCCACACGAGTCAACAATGCTTGCTAGACAGTTACATGAAATCGGAACACAGGCAACACATTATAATGAGCCCTTGCTGATGGCTTTCATCTAAGGTAAGAGTCCAAGGATGAGAAATCTGGATTTTCCTATTTGAAAATCAGAACTCATATTTTTCAGAGGCAATTAGTAAGTAGTTTGACATCATTTGCCTGACACTAGAACAAGATCCATGAGTCAGAAATAGGCACTCAGGACCAGAGAACAGGTTTTTATGACCAAAAGCTACCTTCTCACTTCTCAAACCTCCAGGCACCCACTCCTATCCACAAAGAGGTTGTGCTCTTAACTTATTTTAGCCTAAAACCAATCAGCATCAGGGATGATGATTGCTTCCCTGAGAGCTTAGCAAGTTCCGAACCCGGAGGACATCAAACCTTCAATATCTGTCTAGTTAGACTCCACACTCACTCTTCGTTTCTATCAAAGTCATCTTTCCCCACACACAGAATATGATAGGGCAAGACGAAGAGAGGGTGGTAATAATGGACAGGCCACAAATACACCTAATATCATCAACAGTCATAAGCTGAAAAGATTTTATCCGGAGTCTCATCACAAAAAAAACATTCTGAAAATGTTCGTGTATCATCTCCAGCCCCCCAGGAAGCAGTTGTTTCAGGTCACCACGCGGTCCCAAGCCTTGTATGTCAGTACTTCTGAAATCTGCATGTGCATACTTATCATGTGGGGATCTTGTTAAAATGCAGATTCTGATCTAATTGTTCTGGGTTGAGACCCACGATTTTGCACATCTAACAAGCTCCCAGAGGATGCTGAGGCTGCTGACCCACGAGCCGCAAGATTATGGGTGATTTCGATGAATTGACGATTCAATGCATTCCTCACAGTGAATGTCGTGTCTATAAACCAGTCTTGGGACCGGTTTACATGAACAAGATGAAGGCAGCATGGTCAGAATCCCACTAGCACAGTCCGGCTCCACACAAGCTAAACCTGCAAGAGCATCAAGTCAGGCCTTGAAGGGAGATGTTTCCTATATTCTCACCAAGAACAGAAGACAGAAGGAGGTCTGGAAATTAAGATCGATCCCTTTGCCCCAAATTTTTCCTGGATTTGACATGAGACGTTCACAAATCAGATTCATGGGAGAGGACGGGAAACACGTGTCCAAGCCTGTCTATTGTGTTAGCTGACACAACACTAACACTAAAAAGTGTACCCCTACTTACGTATAAGAGAGTATTCACTTACAAAAATCTTTCTAAATTCTCTTCAAGGGCCGTTTCTTTCTTCAATGAACTGAACGATGCCTGAAGTTTTTGTCGTTGTTGTTATTTCGTTCTGTTTTGAGACAGAGTCTCGCTCTGTCACCCAGGCTGGAGTGCAGTGGTGCCATCGCAGCTCACTGCAACTTCCACCTCCTGGGTTCAAGCGATTCTCCTGGCCCAGCCTCCAGAGTAGCTAGGATTACAGGTGTGCAGCACCACACCTGGCTGATTTTTGTATTTTTAGTAGAGAGGGAATTTTACTGTTAACCAGGTTGGTCTCGATCTCCTGACCTCATGATCCACCCACCTTGGCCTCCCAAAGTGCTAGGATTACAGGCGTGAGCCGCTGCACCCAGCCTGGCTGAACTTTTAAGAGAAAAAACAACAACAACTCTGA